ATTGCACGCGCCCATCTCGGGTATTTTTGACATTAACAATGACACTAGCTCAAAACCTAAACAAGTGGTCCATATGGGATACCTGCGTATGGTATTAACATGAGCATATTTTAATAGCTGTGCGCCAGCACTTGCAAAGCCACTCGTATGCAAGTCCTGTCCGCCGCCCGGTATTAACAGGCCGTTTGTCTTTGCAATTATCTGTTTGTAATACTCGTCCGTCCCGTTGATCATAACCGGCATTTGTAGTTTGCATCAAATTATAATAAATTTTAAATTACTTGTTAGTTCATAATTTGTATATGAAGTTAAATTATTAATTTATTAAACTAGTTAACATGATTAAAAATTTATTAACAAATTTATATAAGGTGATATTTTTATAACTTTAAATAAAATTAAATATAAATATTTTAAATTTATTTCAAAATATAAATACCACTCAAGCTTTATTTAGCTGGAAATGAATAATAATTTTATTAATTAGAGAATATCAAAATTAATAATTAATTTTTTGAAACTGTAAAACAATAGCAGGATTTTTATTTTGATGTTTGTTTTAGCATAATGTTATTTCTAGTGGAACAAACTATGAAATAAACAAATTTTTAATTATAAAATAACATTGTTTATTGTAAAACATTTAATTAAAAAAATTAAAACTAATAATATATTAAACTTATCAAAATAAATTTGTAATTATTGCTATTTATTATTGAGTGGTCAATTAGCATATTATAAATATACCTACATTGTTTATAATTGCCGTAATAGTATAACACTGTAAACATATTTTAATAAATACAATTATATTAATCAGAAATTAATAAATAATAGAAATGGACTGGACGTAGAAAGTCAATATTTTAAATTTATATCAATTAATAATAAAATTATACGACAAACAAATTGTGTATAAACAAATTGCAATATATAATTTGATATTTAATTTTAAGTTAGAAATTATAATAAATAAAATAAAATATAAATATAATTTATGTTTATATATTTAAAAATTTTAAAACATAAAATTATATATATATATATATATTTTAAACATTAATAAATAAAATCAATCACATTTATTAAAATTATTACAAAAAAATATGACCATTGTTCATTGCCCATTGTTAGCCACCACAGCTTTTTTGTTGTTTTGTCGGGTATTATGTCTGTCTGCAGCCAGACTTTTAACCGACACTGAGTGCGACCTCATCCCACCCAGGGTAGTTGTGTCGACGATGTAGGAGTTAAATACAACATAGTATTTAAAGCAATTAATGCTACATTAATGCTATATCAATGGGCATTGCGGGCCATATGGTAAGATAGCATTTTTACAATTTCTACATCTTACAGTTAAACCTCCCGATCTCGAACGGGTCGGGACGCAAATGTTTGTTCGAGTTATAGAGGTTTTCGAGTTATAGAATATTCGAGTTATGGAAAAATATTGAATTATTTACAAAAAAGTTCGAGTTATAGAGTTTTAATTGACAATGTTGTGCTGCTATGCATCATTTTTATAAATGCAATTTTTGTAATTAAAATTAATTAGAATTACAATTACATTTTATAAAAAAATATATAATAAAATGATTACAAACATTTGTATAAAGTGTACATATTTTACAATTCAGTAAAAATTCGAGTAGTAGAGGTGCAGTAAAAGGTATTGGGTCTGTGAAAATAGTTTCCGTTTCGGAATACAGAGGTTCGAGTTGTAGAGGTTTTCTATAATGGGATGTCTATGGGAGTGAATCGGGACTTTGAAAATAGTTCGAGTTATAAAGGATTTCGAGTTACAGAGGGTTCGAGATATGGAATATTAACTGTATATGCTTAATTTTTATTTCAGTACAGCTTATTGCAATTTTTATTGTACATATACTTTTTATAATATAAAATTTATATTAATGCTATTAATATTTATATAATAATGTTATGATTAAATATTGTATTGTAAGAATAACATAATTTTGATGCTAATTCTACTACGGTGATGTAGTCATATTATAAAGAAATTACTTAATAATTAAATAAATATTAATATTTAATTATTAATGTTTAAAAAATTTAAGTATTTTCTCAAACTGTAAATTTTACTACTAAATTAAAATTGGTAAATTAAACATTAACAATCTAAAAATAAACGGACTTATCTATCTAATCAATAATGTTTTTTTTTTTAATTATTGTCAAATTGTATTAAAGCTAAAATTTTTATTTTTTAATCAAATTAAAACAATTTAAAATTAATCAATGCACATTATAAAATTAATGTTGTGTTACGTTAAACACGTATATCTGTTCATAAGTGTAGGGTTTACCAGTTTTGCTAGCAGTATACTGGGGTTGATAATTGTAAATAAGCATGTTCATTTCATCTTTCTGGCTTATTGCTGGTGTCCACACTTTACGGCATTCATTAACAAAAAAGTCTGCCAAATACTGACCGACACGTACCGCGTTTGCCGTATGGGGTATGCCTTTATGTGCGTCAAACTCGTAGGAATTTTTCTCGGGATGCCATTGAACACCATATATGGGTCGCTCGGGGCTCAGGGACTCCCACGTGGACACAAACTCCACACCTTTTGGGTCGGTATTTGTTGACAGTATTTTAAATTCAGATTTCAGCTCGGGTGATGAATTGTATTGGTCCATTGTCAGGCATTTTATGTGATGGTTGTATGTTGCGGGCTCCTTTTGTAGTATCTAGATTTTCAAAGGCAACATATTGTATAAAAATTATTTAGCCGGTTAATTCAATAAAAATAATCTATAATTATTCACGTAATTTTGATAAACGATGTTTTATATCATACATTAATCTATATAAATTAATAAATAAAATTTAATTTAATTACAGTACCTAAACTAATATCACTTACAATAATTTTTATTAATTTTATAAATTTAAATCTATTTGTACTTTATCAGTAAATAATTATTACAATTATTAGATCAATTAACAATTTAATAGACTTCCCAATAAAACATCGTTCAATAATTAGTTAATCCATAAGAATAAAAATAACTTCGAATGCATACTTCCCAATTAATATAACAATTATTTTTATTTTATGAAACATAAAATTAATTTGTAAACATTACAGTATCTGAACTGTAAATATTAAACAACAAATAAGAAATAAATAAACTAACAATACAACTATTATGCCTCCCAAAGTGAACAGCAACCCTTAAGTACATGCTTGTATTTTATATTTTCTAAATTTACTAAATAACCCAATTAAATAAAAATCGGAACATGCAAAATTTACGCATTGTAAAAATTATATTGATCAATCAAATTAAATTTACCTCGATAATAGAGGGATCGGCATTGGCAAACATCCTGCTCGTCTTAAAGTCCGTAGTCATATTAAGTGTAAGGGCAATATCATTAGTATCACATGAGCCCATCTCGGGTATTTTGGACATTAACAGCGACACTAGCTCAAAACCCAAACAAGTAGTCCATATGGGATACCTGCGTGTGGCATTAGCATGGGCGTATTTCAATAACAATGCGCCAGCATTTGCAAAGCCACTCGTATGCAAGTCCTGTCCGCCGCCCGGTATTAACAGGCCGTTTGTCTTCGCAATAATCTGTTTGTAATAATCGTCCGTTTCGTTGATCATAACCGGAACCTGTAGTTTGCATTATATGTTAATAGACATTTAACTAAATAATTATAACTAATTATTATAATTAACATTTATTAACTATAAATGTAAGATCATATTTTGCGATTATCTAACTGATAATAATTATAAATATTTTAGATTTAATTAAAAATATAAATACCACTCGAGCGCCGGCACTCTCCAAGTATTTCACATAACTGGCCGCTATATATGACTGATTGACTGAACCCGTGTGCCAATACTCCTGTGCCAATAGGCCAACCAATGGCCTGTCCTGTAAGCTATGGGACACACCATTGTGTTGGACAATAGCCGAGAGACCAATTAAACCAATTAACAAATACATGGTAAATATTTCTGTTGTTTTTGCTGTAAGTATTTTATCATTTCATTTATTAAGTATATAAGATAATGGTTTGTAGCGTAAATACACTGTATATCAATATATATAGTATGTATTTATAAATATTTTATTGATTACTTCAAAGATTATGCAGTTTGACATTTATAAAAATTGATTTCTACATTCAATACTGTGTACTGATGCACTAAAACTTTATTGTAACAATATGTTATAATTCGTAATTATTTTTCAAACAATTGAATGTTAATAAATACTAATTTACATATAATATTATACTACTAATGGTAAAAAATGGTAAATTGTACCAATATTAAAATATAGAACTAATATATTTTCTAAAATAACAAATAATTGTATTCAGAAATATTTAAACTACAATTATAAGTTTTATTTTTTTTATTATATTTTAATGTACATTAAAACCAAGTATTTGAAATAAAACAAAACTCATACCAGAATAAAAATTAAACAAACATTTAGGTAAACATTACCACTTTGTAATACTTATGTTTATTGCAAAACAAACACGATATTTATAGCGGACTAGGATAATTTGGTACATGTGCACACATAGTAATTGCGAGGTTAAACACCACAATTGTTTTAGATTATTAATATTTATCTTCTATTTAAAATAAATAATACATCTAATATCTGAAAATTTATCTAAACATATTTGTTTTAAACGTAGTTATTAATCTGGCACATTTATGCGATATGCCAATTATAATTATTAAGTTAAAGTAGCAGTATGTTGATCAAATGCTCAGTTTACTGTACACAATCAAGGTTGTTTACGACCATTTCGGTCGTAGATGAACCTTAAATCATGCAATACTAGATCATATTTGCAATCAATATTTTCACAATTATTAGTTAGGTTAGTTGAATAGTATGAACCCAAAATGAACTAAATGTTATTTTTACCATAACACTTAAATGTATTTAATTTGAAATTCTCTGTAAATCCATTCAGCTAATACTATTAATTAAACTTATTTTTAATTGTTATTTGTTAACCATATTAAATTATAAATGTCTGTAACAACATATTGTATTAAGAGTTTATTGTAATTTATAAAATATTTAATGTCTTTTTTAAATTATTTAATTGATATTATTAATTTATTTATCTAGTTACAATTAAAATTCAGCTAAAATTTGAATACTGTATTAATTCGCTAATTCAGTAGTTTCATAATAAAAATTTTAATCAAATTCATTAGCTTAATAATCTCAAACACATTTGTTAAAATGCTAGATCAATTTTTATTAATTTATTTTCATAAACTTCAATTTTACTTTCCAAACCCAAAACGTCCGGGAAATAGACCGACACCACGGAAACCACCCAAACCTCCTAATCCTCCAAAACCGCCAAAACCACCACAAAGTTTGGTCTCTGGTTTAACCCCAGGTTCGGACACAACGGCCAGGGGTGTTAGCTCGGTCTCATGTTTAACCAGGGTGGCACAGTTAACCACGATAGCTAGTTGGGAAAATTAAATTATAAAAAAATGTTAATTATTAATATATAATAAAAACTTACCCAGCGATAAAAATATAATTGCCGCAAATTTGCACATAGTTTTTACAATTTAAACGATATTATAATATTTGAATATGCACAAAAACTTAATCAATTGAGAATGTTTAATTTTATGTTAGAAAAGTTTGTACTATTGATTTAAATACTATAAAATTTTTAAAATGCATATATATGTACGCCAAGTGTTGTATTTATATTATTAAATAATTATAATAAATGGTATTTTCGGGCAAATGTGTGTTCATAAATTGTATTCATTGTTCAAATGACGTATGTAATTAATTAATTTATAAATAAGCAATAATAATTATAGATAACATTACTTGATCACTTAACTTCTCAACTTCAGACTATAAAGTTATTTAACATCAAGCTCATTTTTATTGTTGAAAAATATTCTAAGATAAAACTTAAATGTAAAAATAATTGGAGAATAGTTAACCATTTCAATTTCATTTAATCTTTATTTACCATATTTAATAATAAATATTTTTTTGCAAAAATTACAGTTTTTATAATTAAACCAAATATTTTTTTATATATGAAAATTAAATTTTTTACTTATATTAAATATATAGTTTGTAAATTGAGTATTTATTTAATTGCATAACAATCATTTTTTCCGTTTAATTGTGCCCATGATTATTTATTAATTTAATAAATATCTATTATAAATTTTTATTTGTACAATTAATATAGTAAATTAATTTTACCCTGTATAAATGTATATAAGGTTAATATAACGGCGCTGGTATAATGTAAATTACAATGCTTATAATAAATACGTAAAAACTCACTAAATAAAAATATTTATTTAATATTATAAATGTAACATTGGCGTAATTTTTCCAGGTTGGCACTATACAGCACCCCCACTGCACCCCTGCACCCCTGCACCCCTAGATATGGGTCAGTATCAACATAACTCGACTGCACCCCCATGACTGCACCCCCATGACTGCACCCCCAT